ATGCACAGTGACCCAGAGCTATGGACAGAGAAGCAACCGCTGGGGGTGGAGCGTGGGTAAAAGCAAACCCCAACCAAATACATAATAAATGTAATATTCACCCCTCCCCCACAGAGCAGAGCTAATGAGAAAGCCCTCTGATTTCACACCGCACAACCCCCATGCAAAAAAGGAAGCTGTGGAAGACAGCTAAAGCCACCGGATTCAGATCTGTGCATTTAGTCTGTGTGTATTATGGTAGCATCTAGAGCCCCCCACCAGGTATTGGGGAACCATGGTGCTGGGTGCTGCACGCACGTTGTATATAACAATAAGACCATCCCAGCCTACCGCTGCTCACAGCCCAGGGCCCTGATCCGGCAAAGACCTGTGCACGTGCTTAACGCTACTACCATGAGTAGTCCCATAAGATCTGGGCAAGGGGAGGTGCCTGCATTTGGGGGAGGTGCAGGTGGCAGGGGGAGTTCTTCATTAGAGGGCTTGAGGGGGCATCTGGGCAGGGGGTGTCTCCTCCATTGAGGGAGGGGGGACACAGGAAGGAGGGAGGTTCTGGTTCTCCACTGGGCAGGTGGGGCGAACAGGAATGTGGGCAGGGGGGCAGCCTCCTCTCTTGGACACTTATGCTCTGGGAGCCCCAACCTAGACCCCAGCATCACCCCCCCATCCAGCACTAACTGCAGCATCAAGGCCCCAGCTCATCCCTCTGCAGCCGGCTGCTCTGTGCAGGATGGAGCACGCGCCGGCCTGGGGATGGGGTGGGGTCGCTCCCTTCTGCAGCTGCCGGCTGAGCACCGGGGACACACAGAGGCCCACATCTTGGGGCGGGGGGGGGGGGGGGGCGGCCCCCCCCCCCCTTGGGGCCGCCCCGATGCCCATTGTGCAATCGCTACGCCCGGCTGTTGAGCCGCAGCATTGCTCAGGGGGGATTTCCTGGCAGCGCCGCCCCTTGTGTCAGACGGTGGAGTTACTCCCACACCGCGGGTCTGGCCCGTTGTGCCTTACAAGAAGAAAAGCTAATCGTGGGATCTGTCTGCCTTGGGCAGCTGTTTAGAACTAAGGTGCCCTGTGCTCTCTGGGCTCCGTACGGTCCCTGGGAGGAATCCCCTTCATGTGACAGTCCTTCTCGGGGGTCCACGCCCTCTCGGGGGTTAAGCCCTGCGCTCCAGCACCTCCTGGAACCACACCTCTCTGAGCTTTCTGCCTGCCTGTCTCTCGCCTGGGCCCCCTCCACTCGCTCTGCACCCCGGGGGCCTCCACCCGCAGAGGGAACAATGCAAACCTTGTCTCTAGCCCGCAGTGACTCAGCCAGCGTAAAACAACAGGGTTTATTGAATGCCTCAACCCAGCACACGGAGTTCTCAGGTCTTTTGGAGCTAGAAACGCCCGGCCCCGTCCATCTGGGTCTGTCCCGCGTCCCAGTGGCTCAAGCTGCTCTTTGGCCCCAGTCCAGCAGCCCCCTCCTTCCAGCCGACCATCCTATATCATCACCTTCCCCAACAGCCCCTCCTCCGTCCTTTGTCTTCAGGCCCAGGCAAACAGGTCACCTGGGCCCTCTCTCTTCCATCAGCCTTTGTTCCCACCACTGGCCAGAACCGGCTGCCTTCCAAGATGGGATGGGCCTCCAATCACCAGTTGCTAGGGTACCCAATCTCCAGGCTGTTGTCCAGGGCGATTGCTAGGTGAAGTTACACCAGGTCCTTGGCAACAACAACCCCCCTCTCCCACCACCTCGTTAAACATGTAGCACACCGGGGAAACTGAGGCACACACAGTACTCATGCAGAACACTAAGAAAATCCCCCACTGTGTCACACTCCCCAAAGAGTTCACATGAGTTCCCGTGTGATTGTTGCTGCTTCAATATGTATGGGAGCCGTGGAGTATTTATGGCACCCGAGCTGGCTCCCTTCCAGCTGCGTTGCATGGGGGCAGGGAGGGAAGGGAAGGAGATGGCTGGCTTTTTAAAAGACTGCAGTATTGTAGGGATGGTTGGAAATTTATCGTTGATGTTTTTAAATGAAAAATGACTTTTTGAAGGAAAGAAGAACTTTCGTTTGCTGTGAAGATTTCCAACAAAAAAAACCCCAAACCCAAACATCTGGTTTTTTTTTTTTAAATGAGAATGACTTTTTTTTTTTTAATTTATCTGTAAAACTGACTTTTTCCATCTTCTAAATTTTTTCAGGCTGGGATGCCCAAACTAAAACTCCCACGAGGAACCGTGGCAGTTCTAAATTGCACTAGTTCAGTGCAAACCATTCTAAATTGCCAGTTTTGGTTGGGCATTTTCCTGGAGGTTTCAACACAGGACATAATCTTTAATTCAAGGTTAATCTTTAATTCCTGCAGCCTCCAGGACCATGCTGGAAGGTTGGGAACCCTCATTCAGGCTTCAAGTTTTTCACCCAACATTTGAAGTTTTCTGTTGGGAAAAAA